CATATTAAAAAAATCTGTTCAATTATCAACTAAAAATCTAAATTTAAACCATAAACGGAATGCGTAAAACAGTTTGAAGTAAAATACATTGATACTGTTAATCATAGCGGCTTATACGCTTACAATATACGTTGTTTAATTAGTATATTTTACAAATTAGTTATGTAGATTTTTGGTCAACATAAGAATACATTTTTTCCCGATGTTTCGCTTAAAAATTCGTAACTCCTCGAGATTTTATCCGTTGTCGACGGTATTGCANTTTATCATGTGTATACATACAAACGCCGGTGAAGCCATAGAACGGAAAATAATGAAAACAGAAAAACAGCTGTATTTTCATTTTGGTTAGTTAAAAATATTCAAACAAAAAATAATTATCGATTTTACTTTTAAAAAAAATTAAAAGCAAATTTGTACAGTAAATAGTGGAGAAAGAAAATTGAGTTTCTATGAACTTTGGTATTAACATTCTTTTGTCGCCCGGTTCTTTGGCCGTCCCTTTTGTCCGCGTTTTTCACGGCAATTAATTAACAAAACAGTTAAAATAGTTGATATTTTCGTTTTAATTTTTGATTAAAATAATAATGTTTCCATTATATTTAAAAGCAAAGTTTTACAGTAAATAGTGGAGGAAGAAAATTTAGTTGTATTAACGTTCTTCTGTCGTCCGGTTCTTTGGCCGATACAAAACAGTTTAAATAGTTAATATTTTAAATTTTGATTAAAATAAAAATGATTCCATTATATATTTTAAAAATGGCAATAAAAGCCCAGATAAAAAGTTACTACGTTTACTACCAAAACAACTTGAGCAGGTAGCGGAAGGATTGTTTTGATGCGCCCCGTGCACATTGTCTACTTATCTTTGAGGATTAAATTAAATCCTTTGACTTTGGCGTAAACAACATTCTTCCAGCGGTTCACTAAACTCCATGGATATACTAAAAAATAATAAAAACGTTAGAAATAGACCAAAGAGGCAAAAAACCTTAAAAAATCAATCAATTATCGACTTACTGGGTATGAATTTAAAAGAAAACCAAAAATAGCTGTTAATCATTAACTCAAACGGTATTATTTTAAAAGAAAACCAAGAAATATTTGCCAATGATTAACTCATAGGATATGAATTTAAAAGAAAACAAAATAGTTATCAATCATAGAGCAGCAGCGTATTTAGCCGAAGGTCGTAGGTTCGAATCCCGCTCGTGACATTGACTTTTTTATCTCAACTAGGACCTTACATAGAAAGAATAATTAATTTTTTTAAAATTGGTATTAACGTTCTTCAGTCACCCGGATCTTCAGGTGGCCCTTCTGTTCACGTTCTTTACCCAATTATTTAACCAATTTAACGAAACAGTTTTATTTTTGACTATTGATTAAAATATTTTTTTATTTTTTTGTGAAATTGGCAATAAAAGCCCAGATAAAATATTTGGTGAGCTATCAAAACAACTTGAGCAGGTAGCGGAAGGGTTGTTTTGATGCGCCCCGTGCCCATTGTCTACTTATCTTTGAGGATTAAATTAAACCCTTTGACTTTTGGCGTAAACAACATTCTTCCTGCGTTCACTAAACTCCGTGGATGTACTTAAAAATATTCCAAACATTAGACAAGCTAGAAAAAAAAAATGTCTTAAATGTTAGCAAAATTATTTTTTGTCATTTTCCTCAACTTAAGACGCGAACGTAACATATTTAGTAATCACTTGCTAAACAGTCAAAATTCAGAATGTTCAATTCAGATGGACAGCACTTTCCATTTTAAGATTGCCCTTTTTCTTGACTAATAGATATACCTATGGCGTTGGGTTAAAATTCGTAAGCATTCTAAGGTCCACTTATTTTCGCAGGTTTTTCTTTTACGTACACGTGATAAATAATATAAAGTAGATTCACTAGTTTTCGTGGCCCGTTTGACCAATTAACACTAACTTACCATCTCAACCTCACCTCTCGAATTTTCACTTCTTTTTCCCATCTTTCAGTTAGTGTTTTTTAGTTAGTCCGAGTGGATCGAGGTCACGATAGCTCAAGTGGTAGAAGAGCAGCGGCGTATCTAGCCGAAGATCGTGCGTTCGAATCCCTCTTGTTACACTGACTTTTTTATCTCAACTAAAAACCTTAATTAATTGAAAGATATTAATTGGTCAAGCGGACCACGAAAACTAGTGAATCTACTTTATATTATTTATCACTTAATTAATTACAAAATATTTATTATTTCTAGCTTAAAAACCCGCCAATCTGTTTTTATGCTTCAGATTTATTAAGAAAGACGTCGAAGCTTACAATATTTCTAAAGTTATCGCGAATATTCGGTTTATTTTATCTTGATTACATAAATATTTATTTGTGAACTTATATAAGTTGCCAATTATACTTTTACTCATCACTTAAAGCATAATTATTTTTATAAAGATTCATTATCACTGCAAAATTTTAACAATTTAATTTAACGATTCTCATACGATTTAGGGTTGGAACGAATTGCCGAAAGGTTTTTCAGGAAAACAGAAGCAAAAGTTTATTAAACTCTGGAAATAAATAACCATTGAAAAATAAAATAAAATGTACATTAGAAAAATCAATTCATTAGGATATAATTTACTAGGATTATTATTTTATATTTTTTATTAAATATTTATGTATGAATACATATACACATATAAAGATTATAAATATATTACAATTAATTAAGGTTTTTAGTTGAGATGAAAAAAAGTTAATGGCACGAGAGGGATTCGAACCCACGACCTTCGGCTAGATACGCCGCTGGTCTACCACTTGAGCAATCTCGACCTCGATCCACTCGGACATCAACTCCCCATCTCAATCCCACCTTATGAGTTTTCCCTCCTTTTGCCATTAACGTTTTTTCATCTCAACTAAAAACCTTAATTAATTGTAATGTATTAATTGGCCAAGTGGACCACGAAATTAGTGAATTATAAATATATAGAATGCATTGTGTTAAACACGTTGCGTTAATGATTTCGTGTGAAAATAAAGAAACTAGGAATATAATAATAAACCTGGATTTGTTTAAATAAAAATTAAAAATATATGTTTACACAATAAATTATTTAATTTCTAAATTTGAAAAGTGAAAATTTTATTTGTAGTTAAAAAACTATTTGTTAATTAAGAGCAATAATCTAAAAACTAAATAAATTATTTTTTCGTTATACAGACAGATATTCTCACTAGTTGTACAGTCAAATTTCAAAACGCATTGAAGAAATATCAATAAATTGGTGAAAAGAAAAATATAATTCAATACAGTAGACCAAGTTTTGATGGAATTGTGTTAAAAGTTTAAATAACGTTAATTAAGTCAATTTCCAAAATTAACTTGGCCAACTTGCCAACTTTTCACCATCGTAAATTAAACCATCTTATTTTAAGTTTCCTCATTACAAATTATATAATTTTTTACAAATTTATTTAAATTGAAGTTGTTCTCTAATAGAAAAACCTCGAAAAGGCTAAATGAATAGGATTTTTATGTGCAGCGTTGTATTTTTTTTAACATGATTTTATATGATTGTGTAAATAATTATTTCAATTATTTCATATATATAAATTTAATAAAATTTTGGTTGTGTATTAATTTTGAAGTAGTACAGCTAGGAGAAAAATTAATTATAATAAAAGATCTGACTTTTGATAAGTTGAACTTTTTTTTCCAAATCTCACTCAGGTAGTCGAAGGGTTGTTTTTAACTTAGTCCAGTTTTAATTGAGTCTTTCACTCCTGTAGATAATGGTGGACTTTGATTCGAGCAAAAACGTAAACAACATACCGTTACCCTAGAAAAGGCCCAGCGAGAAGAATAAAAGAACAAGCCAATAAACAATTTCGAAAATATGATAAAACTAGATGGGTTTTTTAAAGATAAGAAGTTAAAAAGATTAAAAATTTTATATTATTTGTAGCAAGTTAAAGAAGCCTAAAAATTTGTAAAAGATTTGTCTAAAACCGTTCAGTTTTGAAGTTATCATTGTTTATTTGAAGCAAGGTCGTGAAATCTTAAAAAAATGAAAAAACGTGAAATAACTTCTAAACCTTTGAGATTCGGACCTTAGTTAAGTAGGACTTTTTGGTTCCATTTTGAATGTAGAATCGACTGGCAGATATTGTAACAAGAGTAGTCCTGTATGTTAAACAAAAATGTTTTTTTAATCCTTAGTAAACAAATTGGGAATTTTTTTAAACAAATTAAAAAATTTAATCTTTATAAGTGAAAAATGGAAAAACGTAATATATTACGTTTAGTTTGAAAATCTTCTGTAATCCTGATCCGCATATTACGCAGTACTAGTCTGATTTCTTTAAAAATAAGTCTTAATAATTACAATTTAATATTTAAACAGAAATAAATATTAATGGTTATGAATTATTTCAATTAATTAAGATTTTTAGTCGAGATAAAAAAGTCAGTGTCACGAGCGGGATTCGAACCCACGATCTTCGGCTTGATACACCCGCTACTCTACCACATGAGCTCTCGTGACCTCGATCCACTCGGACACTGACTTTTTTAACTCAACTAAAAACCTTAATTAATTGAAATATATTGATTGGGCAAGCGACCACGAAAACTAGTGAAGTTATGAATTATGATTTTTAAACATCAATATTGAGAATTGTTCGTCTGTAATTATTACAGAAATTTAATTTTTTCTGCAAATTTACCAGCAACTTAATAATTATAACGTTAATTACAATTATGAATTAATATTATTTATCCTTTCTCATTCATGATACGATTTGATTTATTCATACACGCCGTGAAGAAGGCGGACAAAAGGTCTGTTGAAATTTCTTTTTTTTAATGTATATTATTAGTAATTTGATAATTAAAAGTTAATTATAATTGTGAAATAATATTATTTGTCCTTTCTCTTTATCAAATTTTATTTCCGTAAAACGGCTCGTTTGCAATCAATGAAACACTTTCTCGCCGTTAGGGGTGGCTCAGGTAAGAAAGTCCAAAGGCTCATCTCTCCGTTGATATAAAGCCCCGGAAGTGCTTCGAGGGCCACATTTTGCACTTGAATCTCGCACCTGCAAACCTGGACATCATGAATATCATCGCCAATTTGACACACTTCACCGTGAACATGTTTTATTTGTGTATGCTGTTGTACACGTTCGGCACCTTCCACCTGAAGACTCTTTGGAGAGAAAGGTAAATTTTTGTCATTACCATTTGGTCTGTTGAATTTATTGTGTAATTTTAAAAAGAAATTGGCCACTTTTTGTTCTATATGGTCTTTTTTCATATGAGGGTTAAAAATGAACTTTCTTATTATTCAACCCTGTTTTCTTGCAATAATTGGAAATTATTTAATGACATGCTAATTTATTTAATTTTTTTTCCAGGCAAACGAGAAAGAATCAAGAGGCACAAGGGATGCAAAAGGATCGGCCTTACTCGACTCCACCCAGCATCGACAGACTTTCCACATGCTTGAGCATCTCCTCTGTTCGTCGCCCTTCCCGCAGACGTCCTGCAAAGAGAGTACAAGGGAAAAAACAGTATTTTCAATTTCAAGGTAAAGTGGTGGAAATTCTGGAAACCATCACCGAGGAAGCCGTGTCAGCCAGGCAGAACGAAGGGTTCCAAGATCAAAATCCAAGAGGACGATGAAAAATTTACCCTAAGTCACAAAAGTAACATATTTAACACTGTACATTCTGTATATTTATATTTTTTAATATATTTATTCTTATATTTTTCATAATGACATTGTGCAATACAATTATTAAATAATTATTATTATTCTGTTTTATTTTAATTTCCATACTTATTTTTACAGTTTGAAAAGATTTTACTGGCTCTCTGTTTGTCAGAAGTGCCAGATATGTATATATTTATGTGTCACTATTAAATCGTGAGAGATTTGTTGATACGCTTGTTTTAAAAATTATTTAAAATTTCGATATTTAACTTTGATTTTTGTGAATAAGAACGCTGACCAAAGGTCAGGCTGAAGAACGGGGCAACAAAAGAACGCGAAGACAAAATAATCTTCCCGTTTTTATGTCGGCGTTTATTAGATAAACATTAAACTCTCTTTTGATCGTTCATTGTCATCTTGCCTCGCATATTCTCGCTTGTTTTGTCTGTCGGACGAGTGTCTTGAAGTTGTTGAAGTAGAGGAAAGCATCGAGGCCAAAGTCAACAGGCAGATCCAGAAGCAGATTCATCGACAGAAAAGTCTCAGATTCTAGCCAAATACGCCATTCTGTATATATAACTTGTATATTATTCATGTATTTATTTTTTTATACCAATGACAAGGTGCAATAACTAGTACATCACTCTGTATATACTGTGTATATTATTTTTGTATTTATTTTTTAATAACAATGACAATGTGCAATATTGTTTAACTTAATAAAATTATTTTCTTACTTTATGTTCTACTTTATTTTTAATTCATTATTTGTATTATAAAACGGATTTTTGTTCTGCTGAGAAAAAATGCCACCAACTCATTTCACCTTGTTAGAGAAAAGACTATTTTCCACTTTTATAAACGCAACTATTTAATGTTAATTCGGTGTTTAAATGACGACAAAAGGGCCAGCTGAAGAAGAAGTATAGAAGAACGCGAAAGTAAAAGTTCAAACAAAAGAATACTCTTGCCCGATTTTCTATACAAATCGAACCATTAACAACCAAAAAAAAAAAAGTGTTTACGCCTTATGGTCGTCTTTTGTCCGCTTATTCTGGCTTCTTTTCTCTGTCGAAAGCGTTTCGGCTTTTTGTAACAATCCTAAGGATTAATCCGCAAAGACGCCGTCGGCACAATGGCGACAAAAGTAGAATAAAGTTAATATTTGTGACGACACAGCTGTTCACCTATCCGGTTTTGGGACCTCCCGTCTCGAAAACTGATGGAAAACTAGCATTTTCAATGTTAGGGGTCGGAAAAATTCTAATTTTTTTTTTTAAATTACATTTTTTCTTCTCTCGGAATAAATTTAATAAAACTTAAATAGTGGCGGGACAAACCGAGACGAGAAGAAGGAAGCAATTCGCGGCCTGCAAGATCCTGACCCGGAGGGCACTGTGTTCGAAGTTCGAGATGGACGATCGGAGTAAGAGGTGTCCTCCGCGAGGACAAGAAAAGATTGGAAAAAAATGTTTGTTGGGTGTGATCCCAGTGGTGTTGATCTACGGGTGCGGAGAGTTTCTCCGAAGAGACCCCTCTCGAACCGTCTGGGTTCAACACGGGAACGGTATCTGTGCTTCCTTTTTTATGGTGATAGTATATCAACAACAAGATGAACAGACGGATCTTAACAAGGAGACACTTAGCGGAAAATTTCTTTCAATTTCAATTTTCAAGACAACGTGTCCTACGAGCATAATTCGTTTTCCATCGAAAGATACAAATGGCAAATAGAGGCAAAAGGATGAGTTTTGACTTTTTCTAATTTCAGGATTTGTTATATTTGTCAATCCTTCCATTTGTTAAAAACTGTTTTTTTGGCCCTCGTTCAAGTTAATAGAACGTGAAATATGAATCAAATATCGATAACTCGGGAAAAAGGCAAATAGAGGAAAAAGGAACAGTTTTAGCTTTTTCGAATTTTCTAATTTCAGGACTTGTTACATTTATCAATATTTCCATTTGTTATAAACTGTTTTTTCAGCCTGGTCCAGGTTATTAAGAGGTGAAAAATGAATCAAATATCGATAACTCTGGAAAATAGCAAATAGAGGCAAAAGGAGGAGTTTTGGTTTTTTCGAATTTTCTAATGTCAGGATTTTATACATTTGTCAATCATTCTATTTGTTATAAACTTTTTTTTGAACCTAATCCAAGTTAATAGAACGCGAAATATGAATCAAATATCGATAACTCTGGAAAAAGGCAAATAGAGGCAAAATGACCATTTTTCTCTATTTCGTGTTATTTAATTTTAAGACTTTTTACATTTGCCAATTGTTCCATTTGTTATACAATATTTTTTCAGCCTAGTCCAAGTAAATAGGAGGTGAAAAATGAACGAAATATTCTAAACTCTGAAAAATGTCAAAAAGAGGCAAAATGACCATTTTTCGCTATTTCGTGTTATTTAATTTCAAGACTATTTACATTTATCAATTGTTCCATTTGTTATACAATATTTTTTCAGCCTAGTCCAAGTAAATAGGAGGTGAAAAATGAACGAAATATTCTAAACTCTGAAAAATGTCAAAAAGAGGCAAAATGACCATTTTTCGCTATTTCGTGTTATTTAATTTCAAGACTATTTACATTTATCAATTGTTCCATTTGTTATACAATATTTTTTCAGCCTAGTCCAAGTAAATAGGAGGTGAAAAATGAACGAAATATTCTAAACTCTGAAAAATGTCAAAAAGAGGCAAAATGACCATTTTTCGCTATTTCGTGTTATTTAATTTCAAGACTACATTTGTCAATCGTTCCATTTGTTATAAAATATTTTTTCAGCCTAGTCCAAGTAAATAGGAGGTGAAAAATGAATGAAATATTCGGAACTTTGAAAAATGTCAAAAAGAGGCAAAAGGACCAGTTTTGACTATTTGGAATTTTATAATTTAATACTATCTCAATATTAAAAATTTTTTCCTCGGGTTTTTGCGTTTTTCTAGAAAACTACTATTTTCTTCAATACAAAATTATATACTTTTATATTATATTCGTAACAATATTAAATAGTAAATGTTTATCTCTCTGTGGAATATTTGTGATGATTAAAGATGTCAATAACATGGAAAAATTACAATTGGATAACAGTTTTTGGTTATTTTTTACCTTTACTATTTTTGAACATACATTTTAATAATATTTTGGAAAGAATTTTTTATTATAGGATTTATAAGAAATTAATAAAATGAAATTAAAACATAATTAGTAAATAAAATAAAGTTAACATGAAATTGAAATGTTCTTATTAATCATATTATGAAACAGTACCAATAATTTAATCCTTCTTCTTCTTTTTCGGACTGGCAATTTATTTACTCTAAGTATGGATGCGTGAGCAATTGTTAACATAATTTAATTATTTATTTTACATATTTAACTGTAATAAAAGTATTATTCTGTAAAATGTTATGTAGTTTTGCATATTTTACAAACACAACACTGATGGGGAGGGGGGCAGAAGCACCATCTCTAATAAAAGTATGCAAGCATGTGCATCTTATTAGTTCCACACATCCAAACTTATAGTAAATAATAATAATCATAAGACCTAAACCCATGACCCTGGAAGAATAAAAAAGGCGGGTGAGGCATGTAAGGGAGATGTTGAAACTTTCAGGCCTGCTACAATGATCTGGCCCTCATTGGCAGAGAAACCGAAGTCGATAGTCTATCCTTATGAATTTGAATTGTAGAAGAGGGATCAACCTTGCCGACTTAGAATATGCCATATGTGATTGACACATGGCCACCTACAGACCAAAGGCTGCTTGATGAATCCCACTCAATTGAAGAGTGTAACTCCTTGGCTCTATATAAAAAGTTGATTTATATGTTGAAAATCTTCAGAGTTTTAATTATTCAGATAACTCTTTGCTGTACAGATTGCACAATGAGACTTTCTGATCAGGGCCAGCTACAAAAACGACAGCCGGCCCCCACTGCGAGAGCGTCTTATGTGAGAAAACCAAAGATTGAATAGGCGAAGGTCGGCTAGTGATCACCGCAAGCAGCTGCATTGTACTCATGTTGAAATATTTCACGGATCCATCCCAACAGCCCGCAACGAATATCCTGCCCGATTTATGCACAGCCAAAGCGCTGACACCTGGGTTTGTCAATTGGGCCGAATTCGCTATGTCCAGGCCTTCGTCGAGTTTGAATTTGACGAGCGTCAAGCCACTCGTGCCCACGACGCCTTCCTGCGTCGCTTCGCAAAAATCCATGCACATAGGAGTATCACCGATTTCGCACTCGGACAATTTCACCCCGTCAAAATCCCACAATGCTAAAAAACCCCCTTCATAAAGCACCAACACTTTATCGTTTTCCAGGCAAAACAAACACATAACTTCACCTGGTTTTTTATTGAACTTAAAACCAACAACCTTGCTCACTTCGGTTTTAATGTTATACACGGTGAACCTGCCCTCACTCAGCGGATAAACTAGATAATCGCCCCTTGAAACGATTTTGCAGAATCCAACATAGTCATAAGAAAGCTGTTTGATCACAGACTTCATTTCCTCATCCCAAAACTTGATACATTCGCCCTTCTCCTGTGTAATAAAGTGATTTCCATTTATCAATACTGCCAAAATAGGTTCGTTGCTGATTTTCACACTGTTGATGGTCCGACTAATCTGAAAATATAACACATATTTTATTTTTATACACATATTTATAATTAACATAACATTACAGTTTGAATGCAAGTATTTATTAGCATGAGTGGTGAGGGGTGATGGTGAAATATAGCTCCACCAACGCCCCTTGAATAGTGCGTGTACTTAGGGTCGATGGTGGAATATTTATAGAAGTACCTTATCGACCCTAATTTAGGTTAGATTATTAATACTGTTTATAGGTCGATGGAGGAATAAACAGTACTACTCCAACTAATCAGAATGCATGCATGAATATACTTATTTGTGCGACTGATTTGTCCAATTTAAGTAGTATTAGGCTAGATAATAGTTTACATGCGCTTGAGGGTGAAATGACCTAGCTGTCGATACTCTAACCTCGTTGATAGAGAACCGACAATCTCCTGGGCATTTGGCTTAAGGCGATACTAACGACCTAGCCATGTAAAGGAGTAGGTGAACTCCCTGATGACGCTAAGGTCAGCACAATGGGGAGTGACAGCCCTTCGGGTGTAAGTCTGATATTTGTATAAAGAAAAATAAGCTCATAGTCTGTTATAAACCTTAATGACAAAAAAGAATTAATATTAAACCAAACCTTCAAATCCCAGATGTTCACACATCCATCATTAGTTCCAACATAGATGACCTCCTTGGAACCATTTAAATCGAGGAGGAGACAGTGCACGAGAGATTCCCCCCCTCTGAATGAATAAATGGAAGATGGAGTTGTCGGCTTCACCATCTGAAAGTTCAAGTAAATTTTTATTTATAAACTCATTTTAGTGTATTTTATTTTTTCCACAGTTTTTTGGAGTAGTTGGGATTTCCCTCTTTTAGCACTTACTTTTGCCTATAGTGTCTTATCTCTGCTGATGATTCCTGAAAGATTTTTGTTTCATTACTGAAATACAGAATTCTATACTGTCTATATAGAACAGAAATGCTTTTCCTAGGAAACATGTAATAAAATTCCTGCTATACAGAACGGCTTAACTTACAAAAACTCATTGTGTGTCTTGAACAAGGGAGGGTCAAACCACTTTACAATACATTTTTCATACCATTATCAATTAAAAACCCATGGGCTCTGCTGGGATTTGAACCCAGAACTAGCATTTCCTAGCATTCCAAATACAAGTTGGACATCCTGACCAACTTTGCTACCTCCATCCCCATTCTTAGGTATCATAATCTTAAGACCTATCTATTGCTAGGCAGTTGCATAGGGCAAACTCTGTTGTCTCTGTCTTTTCTAGTTATAATCAGCATTGGTGATTGGTCAGCCTCGTTTTTTTAAGTAGTAATTTACTTTCCCATAAATACACCTGTTAGAGTTTTAAATTCCTTTATGTCGTATACAACTTTCTTTTCTTTCCATTAGGTTGTTTTTACGAGTATGTTTTTACTCATCTTGTCAGGCTTTTCCCAGTATTTGTTGTGTTCTTTAGTTACCCAAGACTATAATTCTCTTTTAATATGGCTATAGTTTATTCCCCAATGTGGACTTGGGCCTATGGGCTGTTCCAAGGCTTGTTTTTTTTAGCACATTTGTGCCTTGTTACCTGTAATGACCTAAAGACCATATGAATGTAGTTTATCAAAAATTCCAGTTCTTTATTAATGTGACTATAGTTACTGTCACAAAATCAATTTAGGTCTGTTCTGTTTAAAGCCTTCCCGTAAACTAATACGTCTATTGCCTCATTGCTGAAAATTCCCTCATTACAATGGACCCACCTTAGCATCAGGCTTTTTCTAATTCCCAGTTTTTATTAGGGGATTTTAGCAGTTCCAGACCAGTTTTTAGATGATTTTGAATACATAGAGAGCCTTTAGAGCTGCCAGATAATCTGATAGTATTATTAATGTTGTACCTTTGAGATTCTTGGCATAAGATTGTAAGATGGTTGTGGTAATGCTTAGGGCCTTTTGGAATTCATAATTAAGCCTGTTTGTATCCATGCCATAGATATTGCCATCTTTGAGCTGTATACCATAGAAGAGCTCCAGGTTTAACTTATTTTATCTTTCAATTTAGATCTCTTTTCCATATTTAGTTTTGCAGAGTTAGAGTTGTAACATTTGAATTTTTTATCCTGAAAAATGGCACCGTTGCCTCGGCGGCGTTTATATTTAGATAATATTCCTGGCACTGTTTCAGTGTAATATTTAATGCTATTTGCAATAATTCGACTTAAGTCTGGTCTTGCCTCGATTATACTTCAAGACCCATTGTGGATAGTTTATGCAGGAGTGGTCCTCTACCAGTGACCACAAAAATAGTGGTAGTATACCTCCTTGGTAGTGTATATATACTATCACCGGTTGTGTATAAGCTTTTTGACTATTAAATTAATAGTTTGGATATAATTAACTCGTGAAAACAAGAAATGCCATTTATGATTTTAGAGGTTTATCCTCACAATACAGACATTTCAAAAAGGTAGTTGAGACAATCATTGGATAATCTGAATTTTGTGTTTATTTTAAATTACAAAAATATTAAATTTACTTACAATTATAGTTTTACATTTGTTTACAGTAATGAAATAACATGACTGATAACTTAGAACCTAAAGAAGGTTAAAAAAGATTTTCTGATAAGTGAAAAAGTTTAAAAAAAGAAGGAATTTATTCAAACTGATAACTTTATGTTGAAATGTAAGAACTTTAAAATCAAGAAAATCAGTCAAGTGGTTATTGTTGTGCCATAAAGGTTTACAACACATCACTTACCGAGGCCAAATGTAAAAAATAATCGATATTTTTATAGAATCGATTGATACTGATAACATTACAGCTTGAGTTGTGTGTTCTGCCGGACCAGTTGTCCATATGATGTTCCTATTTAGTCGAAAATGAAAAGAAAGATGTTTTTAAATTGTTTTATACTTTTAATTATATGCTTTTCATCCGTGAGCCTCGAGAAGGCGATGAATAAGGATTTGGCTTCAGCCGGAAACTCGAGCAAGATTTCGACGTCGAAGGCGTCCATAAGCTCGACTGCAGAACCAAAGAGGATTGAAAACGATGTCGCCCGTTTGCCAGGAAATGGGACGACAAAAGCTCTGGATTCGAAGAACAAGACAACGACACCTCAGCCAGTGCACAACACAAGCATCGCTGCACCGAACGAGCCGGTCCTTCCGGAGAAAGGCTCTGCAGAGGCTGAGCACAACAGCTCCATGGCTATATTCTTCGTCCTCTGCGTACTCGCACTTGGTATAATCCTGATACATTTCATGCTCATGACTAATTTCAACTACCTGCCTGAAAGCGTCGCAATTGTCTTTCTCGGCGCTTTGATCGGCCTCATCATACACCTCATGTCCGATCAGAACATCGGTGACTGGAGGAAAGAAGAGGCGTTCTCTCCTACAGCTTTCTTTCTTGTACTCCTTCCTCCGATTATATTTGAGTCTGGGTATAATCTCCACAAGGGGAATTTTTTTCAGAACATTGGCTCGATACTTGTATTCGCGATCGCTGGGACGACCATCTCCGCATTGGTGATAGGAGGAGGAGTTTACTTTTTAGGTTTAGCCCAGGTAGCGTATAAACTAAGCTTTATGGAGAGTTTTGCCTTTGGTTCATTAGTCTCCGCTGTCGATCCTGTCGCAACTGTTGCAATATTTCATGCTTTGGATGTCGATCCTGTTTTAAACATGTTGGTCTTCGGTGAGAGCATTCTCAATGATGCAATCGCAATCGTCTTAACTACATCTGTTTTTGAGTCAAACAACACATCCATGTCCTCGTCTGAGGCTGTCCTAGCTGGAATCAACCGTTTCTGCTTAATGTTCTTCGCCTCAGCTGGTAATTCATAAGTAATTATTGGGTAAAAATAAAATCTAAAATTGTATAATTTTTTAAAGGGATCGGAGTCGTCTTTGCTCTGATGAGTGCTTTGCTCCACAAACATATTGATTTAAGAAAGAACCCTTCTCTCGAATTTGGTATGATGTTGGTTTTCACCTATGCACCATACGCCTTGGCAGAAGGGATCCATCTTTCTGGTAAGCCGCTTCTATTTATTATAACTAGAGCTGGATTTTCATGTTATTGCACAGCATGTTTTAAACTTTATAATTCATCTGTATAGGTTTCATAACGTAATGAAGCATATTCTCAAATTTTATTTTGCACAAAATTGCACATTTTGGACTTTTAGAGCTAGGAGACAAGAATCACCTACTTCGGTCAGGTCCCACGGTAGGCTCCACATTCATGCTAATAAGTACTTTCACTCTTAATATATACCAAACGAGATATATATCAATATTACATACAATAAAACAGGCCTGATTCTTCCAAAAATCCAAACATGCACCACATGTACAATAAAATATCATTATCTCAATTTTTTTAAATGAAATGCTTAAATTCAGCAAATTTGTTTAACTAACATTAAATAAAATGTTTATACATGAGAATAATATAGAGGCAGCTTGAGTGATAGAGCACCAAGGTAAATATGTTAGTTTCCCAGTCTGAAATAGCAATTGAACACTGTGCTTGAGAATTAAAAATGGTAGGAACACATTCCAGGAAGATAGCCACTTTCTCTGACAGTCAGACAGCACTCAAGGTAAAACGCATATGAGATTGTAGGGAAGTTGGTGACAACAACGGCCTGACTCTGGCATGGGTCCCTGTGCAATCAGGGTATAGAGGCAATGAGAAAGTGAATACGTTGGCAAATAAACAAGTCAGTTCTCTAGGCCCTGAACCCTATTGTGGCCTAGCATCTTGCCACAAAAAATGATATCCAAAAATGGATCCTTGATGAGCCTAAAACCTTGTGGAACTGTACCCCAGGCATGAGGAACGTAAAGAGATTCATATAAGTGCCATCCACAAGCCTTAAACTTGAATTACTGGAGGGTAACTGCAACAGAATCTGGATTCTGGTCGGACTCCTGATAAGGCCCTGCTGTCTAAAGCCGGGAGCACACCCGATCCTATGCCATGCGACGTTACCCGACGCCTTGCCACGTTTTGATGGGAGTGCACATCTATCCGACGCAAGCACATGTTGCGTACAGTACCACAGCATTTATCACAATAACCATTATCACAATCGCAACGCATCTTTTGTTCTTAATGCACTATTTTGAGCAAAAACTTGTAATAAATTGTTAGTTACATTTTATGAGCACAACCATCTAATAAATTGTTTGTTAAACTTAATTGTTTTAAATAAAGTTACTCTTAACCATCATAATTAATCAATGTTTATAAAAACTTATGCATTTTGGATCTCGTTTAATTTGGTTTACATTAAAATAACATGTTGTAATTGATATAATGACAAAATTACATGTACTTAATTTGAAATAAACTACAAAAAATATGAGTGTCCTGTTCTGATGCTGCCTGACAAAATGGTGTAATTTTACGAGCAAAACTATGAACTAAATTCTTAATTAAATTTTATGAGCAAAACCGTGTAATAAATTGTTCCATTTTTAGTATATGTACCGCCGAATAGAGTACAATGAATTGTTAGTTAAATTCATTATATCAAAAAATCGTATTCCGGTGTTTTGATTAATTTTCTACCAAACCATTAAAATTAATTTTTTAAATAAAAACTAATTAATTTTTAATCACAGTTAATTTAGTTTATATTAAAATAAGTATGTTGTAATTAATATAACGACAATAATACATGTGGTTTGAATAAAAATATGAGTGTCCAGTTCTTTTGTCTTCAACTGTACTCGATGCGACCCGACGAAAATCTGGACAGAGGGGATCGTAGAGTGTTGGGTAGGTTAGCATGGCATAGCATCAGGTAGATGTGCACGGGGGTTATACAACTTTATGGAAAATCGGAGTTTTGATTTGCATCGGGTAGAGTTGCATGGCGTAGCATTGGGTAAGTGTGTTCCCGGCTTAAGAAGGCACATGCACTGGATAGGGGGTGATAGGATAAGATTCTTGCAACTAGGAGAGGAAAAGCCTCGAGCAAGATTCTACACTAAGGAGCTGCTGGCAAGGATATGGAGGTTGATTAACAACTTGAGGCTAGCCAAAGATTTATAAAAATAGAGGAGCACGACAAATCTACATAGGTCGAGGAGCAGAAGGTGTTTTGTCCCCCTCTTTTATCATTATCCCTATCCTTAAGATTAAATAAAATGGTTATCATTAGAACGAATTAAGTGTGTAATAAATGAGAATTGAAATTAGAAGTTTGAGACCTGAGCAGTCAAAGTCACAATAGCTCAAGTGATCATCAGAAGGGAGTATCTATTGAATGATCATGGATCTAATGACATAAATTTTTCATTTTGAAAAATCATGTATAATAATTTGAATATGTATGTAGAATTCCTTGTATTAGTACTGTGTATTAAACAAAAAATATGATTATTGCATGTTTAAGTATTTATATTCACCTTCAGTCTCTGATTATGAATTTTTTCACAAATGATTTAAACCTGTCTTAAAATTTTCCTAGGTATCATGGCAATTCTCTTCTGCGGGATTGTCATGTCACATTACACACATTACAACCTATCGACTGTGACGCAGATCACGATGCAGCAGACAATGCGTACTTTGTCGTTCATCGCGGAAACTTGCGTCTTTGCCTATCTCGGGCTTGCAATTTTCAGCTTCCGTCACCGTGTCGAGCCGGCTCTCGTCATCTGGAGCCTCATCCTCTGCCTGCTCGGCCGAGCCTGCAATATATTCCCTCTCGCCATTCTCGTAAATAAATTCCGCGAGCATAAGATCACGAAAAAAATGATGTTCATCATGTGGTTTTCTGGTATGCCGAGTTGTTATTTTATTTTATTTTATATTTTTAATATCGAATTTTAAAGGGTTGAGAGGTGCAATTTCATACGCTCTCTCTCTTCACTTGGACTTCAGCGATGAAACAAGACATGTCATCATAACTACAACATTAATCATAGTTCTTGTTACAACATTGATTTTTGGAGGATCAACAATGCCTCTTATGAAAGTATGCCTCTTGTATTATTTTTTTTCCTTTTTTTAAATAACCTAATTGAATTTTATTTTCAGTTTTTACAAGGAAATAGGAAACACATGTCGAGTACGAGGAGTAGAAGGAAGCGTAAAGAAAAAGCGCTTTCCCTCAGCAAAACAAAAGAATGGGTAATTAAGTTAATTATCTATGCTCCATTGGAGTCCCTGGTATCTATAGTTTCCCTTTCTTTCACTGTGAATATTGTAGATTTGTCCCGATAAAGGTATTTTATTCAAACAGAAATTTATAGGCCCAAGTTAAACTTTAAGCCAAAATCTCATGTCCCTCTTTCTGCTATGTACGATGCTTCTGTTACCTCTTATGCTCTCATTATAATTAGTCTATTTTCATCCGATGTGCCTGCATATATATCCTACCTACTGCTTACCCTATCTAATTAACCATTCCTGACCTAACCTAATTTAATCTTTCTTAAAAAAATAGTTCATACTCACAGTTGTTTTCATCTATCCAGATTTCAAGCTTGCAGCTTATCATCAGGTTGAGTTACAACCACGTCTCTTGACATGAATTGTAGAAGTGAACCTGCCGATCCCATGCCAATGTAATGTTCCAATGAAAATCTGGTTTTAATAGCCGCTCAATTTTGAACGAACAAAACGTGTGAATCACAAAACAACTAAATATTATTTTAGTTTTGTTTCCAGCTTCTGTATAATCTAATCTAATCTTAATAAATACTGTAAGAAAATAATTTTAAATCAGTGATTAATTTGTGCCCTTGTATTAATTAATTAATAAATTTTAAATAAAATTAATAGATTAATAAATTAAAGATAAAAGATATCCATTACTTACCCAAGGTTTTTGTTGGAGTTATGCGATCCCTAAGTGTTCCCGGGTGAAGGGGCCTAAATAATTACATGTAAATTTCCCCCAGTTGCAACATAAAACATGGAGGGCCATCGTCCTTCCATGTTACCAAGTCTGTACTGGATGTCTGTATTCACATTCCTGTACTCAACTTGTCTTTCTTATGGGCTATTAGTATTTCTTCTGAAGTACTATGCCTCTTCTTTGCCATCAATATATTCCTTGTTAATATTATATCATTTTCTTTATCAAAAAGGGACAAGCGATCGATTCCGAACATCTCTCCGAGTACACGGAAGAGGAAAACATGGAGGTGAACTTCCTTCAAACGAGGATTCGCGGTTTTGCCAAATGGGATTACAAGTATTTCATACCGTTTTTCACAAGAAGATTCACCCAGCAAGTGCGTTTTGTTTTATATGTGTAAGTTTTTGTTGGAAATAATTTAATTCTTAATTCTTATTTTATTTAAAGGAATTAAAAGATTGCAAGTCACAGATGACCGATTTGACAAACCAGTGGTACCAGGCGATTAGGATATCACCGAATGAGACTGACGAAGAACAAGAAGGACCAAGCTGACAAGCAGAGAACCCCTTTGAGAGGCCCTAGGTCTGTAAGAGAACACATAGGGAATCATGTAATGGGCCTTCAGGGAACTTTTGAAATAAGGTTTAACGTTACCATTTTAGGTTGTGAATAGCTGTTATGGTTAAGTTTGGTTTTGGTGCTTGGGTCCCGGGTGTTTGTAGCAATGAACTGAACTTAATAGTTACTACTACTCTATAGCAAAGTTTTAAAAACAAAATATAAACTTAGCATTCTAATGTATATAGACACAACAGATTTAAAATGATTGTATTGCAAAGTCTGCATCAAACATGAAAATTTATACACTACTGCTCTGTGAAAGTGGAAAGGTTTGTAATTCTTAAAAAAAAAAAAAAAATTAAACTTCCTAGGCAAAGTCGCCTATTAGACACCAGGAGAATAAGACTTCACAACAATTATTTGGACAAAAATATGTGTGTTTCTTACATTTAATGTAAAAACCTGTATAACAAATGCCTCTGAAGAAGATGCTTTCCAAAAAAAAAAATATGGAAAGTATCAAAAATAATGCTGAGTTTAATAATTACCAAACCTGGGTAAGAAAGTGATGTCTTCAAATATCGACCAATAAGCTTGCTTTTGTTATTCAGAAAGCTACTTGAAAAGCTTCTTATAATAGAGTACAGTTTTGGATATATTATCAACACTTTATGCCATCTAGAAAATATTGGTTGTCCCACAAAGATTTGCTACTGAGGAGTTAATTTATATTAAAAACATTTTGAAGAACAAAAGATGGAAAAAGGAAACCAAACCTTAATGGATGTTGCAGGCGTATTTGACTCGGCTTGCTGGAATTCAATTTTGCTTCAGTTGGGTAAAAATAATTGTCCTGAAAACTTCTTCAACTTATCTAAAGATTATTTTAGTAACAGATTTGCATACGTGTTTAACAATAGCAAAAAATTTATTAGAATAATTAAAAAGGATGCCCTCAAGGGTCATGATGTGAGCTAGGGTTTTGGAATTTAATGCGCAATTCCCTCCTGAACATCAAACTCCCTGATGACATGGAAGTAGTAGCTTTTGCAAAAGACCTTGTATTAATAATATTTGCCAAAACAGAAACTGAACTTGAAAAATTGGAAAATGAGGCAATTAAAAAAATCGAAGAATGTTCATGAAAACCAGATCCAGTTTAACCCACAAAAATCTCAACTTATCCACATAACTGGATAGTCTAAGTCAACTCCCATGATGTACGCTTATTGGAGGGAAAAAATTCCCCGGAATCAATTAAAAATTCTTGGACTTTTGTTTAATAAAACAATGTCATGGTAACACCGCATAATTCCACAATAGACCTGTTTAGGTCGCAGAGGAGGAAGAATTGTGTTCAATCAACCCCCTCAAAAAAGAAAAAAAAGAGACTGATTAACATGCTGTGTTGTTTGGCAAAAATAGACTGGGGGTTGATGATGAAGCTCTTGAAATTATTTACAAAGGCACTATAATTCCTATACATATGCAGCCGCCAGTATGGGCTGTAGCGTTAATAAAAAAATTTAAAAAAATGTATATATAAAAACTGAGAAGTGGTCAGCGAAAATGGCTCTGCACGTATTTAAGGAATATAGGACGATATCATTTGAAGCTAAAGTATTTCTGGCTCAAATAATTCCAAACGACCTGAAAATAAAAGAAATAGAAGGTCTACTCCACACGATAAAGAAACAGTCAATGAACTAACATTCCCAGCATACGAAATTGAAATCCCACTAACAGTTGGAAAATGGCCACATCCATCAGAAACTGTAAATGTGGATTAAAACTTCGAGGGAGATAATTTTACTCTATAGGTGTTTACAGATGACAGTGACAATTGGTGAAGCAAACGAGGGTTGCGCTTTTGCCATATTGAATAGAGGTTCAGATATAAACAGCGAAATGCACAAACTCGCCCCCTGGTGTAACAGTAATCAGGCTGAATTATTTGCAATCCTGAAGACATTACAACGGATGGAAATAGAAGTAAAAAAAAGAGAGATTCTGAAGCCAACGTAAAGATCCAACTGAGAATTGATAGTGACATTAGCTTCAAGGTAATAACCAATCACAAAATTCACAACAGGGAAGCAGAAATTATTAGAAAAATATTTTGGAATTTGGACAAGAACTTAAATACAAAGATCCTGATTGGTCAGGTATAAGTACATAATGGTATTCGTGGGAACGAGCTAGTAGATAGCTATGCAAAAAAAAGCAACCCTTAATGAAAATTTGGTACCTTCATTTACTCAAGTGCATTATCATATGTAAAAAAAGAGTTAAGAAAGATGGCAATGGTCCAATGGGAACATAAATGGGTTAGTGGAGGGAGGAAAAAAACACCTATTACATTATTCCTTCCTTAACCCAGACATTGTAAACCTAACCTAACCATTCCTAATTACTTCTTACCATTCCTATCCTAAAAATTCCTTACTGTTCCTAACTTAACCTAACCATTTTATACCTAATTATTCCTTACTTACCTAAACATTTCTTACCATTACAAACATAATTATTTCTTACTTAACCTAACTATTCCTTACCATTCCAAACCTAATTATTCCATACTTAACCTACCATTTCAAACCTAACCTTTAAACCTTTTTCAAGGTATTTAAGTTAACCTAACCATCCCTAATTTATTTATTTAACTTTATAAACGGTTTCACAGCCAATATACATAATTAATTTAATGCATAATACAATATTACTTTACAATTATTTTATTACATTACTTATTTTATTGCATAGTACCTTAATAGTTGAGCATAGTGAGCATATTTTTTTTATACATAAATCTGTAATAAATATTTTTATCTGTAATTCATTTAGTCTTCTAATTGCCATATTTATTGGTGCAAAGAAGGTGTAGTTATTAGAAGATATTAACATTCTTTTTCTACTTGGGACATTAATTTTTATCTCTTCTAATAATTTAGGACAGTTTATGCAGTAATAGATTAAATACAAAATTTACCTCACTGATAGTTCTTCTGTTTTAAACTGTATCTATATTAAATATATTTTTGTCTTTCCAAAAGGTAGATTGGGGATGAGGCCTGGAAATAAGTTAATAAATAATAGTTCCTGGCCTCATCCCCAATCTACCTTTTGGAAAGAAAAAAATATATTTAAACTTAGAAGGTTGATCAATCACCAAAGAAAATATGTATCTATATTAGTTCTTAATTCAGAATATGATTTGTTTTCTAAAGGAATACTAGATTTAAATGCAAGATATTTAAGAAGCTTATTTTGAACTTTTTCAATCATTTGGATGGAACCTAGGTAGTGACCAAATTATTGCATTACACTCCAGAATAGATTTCATTGAATAACAAACTTTTTAGGCAATTTATACTGAAGAATTCAGTTATTGCGTTTAGAAAACCTAGGCTTTTTAAACCCTTATTTATTATATAATTTGTGTGATTTTTAAAAGTAAGATCTTGGTCAAATATGACACCTAAATCTTAACATATGGTAGCCAACTTAATACAACATTAGAACAAGAATAGTTATAAACAATAGTTTTTTGGTTTTAAGACCTTTATCAGCATTTAGATCCATAGAATTTAATTCACACCATGTGTCTACATTGTTTAATTCAGTCTGTAATCTTTGATACTTTTAGCAGTTACATACAGTTTTTGGTCATCTACAAAAACTTTTATTAAACATTTTGAATAGAAACTTATGGAACACCACCCTGTCAATCGGTTGGGAATATGTGTTATTTGTTAAAACTATTTGGGTTCTCTTTAAATAGCTACTAAATAATTTTAATAAATTGCCCTGGACACCAATGGCTTCCAGTTTGCAAATTAAAAGATTATAGTTAACTCGGTCAAAAGTTTTACTAAAATCAGAATATATTACACCTAATTGGTGACCATCATTGAAAGCTTTAATTAAATCACATTGAAACGATAGTATATTTGTTGCAGTTGACTTATTTTTTTCAAATCCTTGTTGGTCATCAATAATAATAATTTTAAATAAGACAGAAATTTTTTTAGTGAGTAGTTTTTCAAACATCTATATCTACATATAAGAAAGATTTTGCATATTGGTCTATAGTTAAATATATTTGATTTACAACACTTTTAAAAATAGGTACAATATAACTAGTTCTCCATACACAAGGAAATTCCCCGGAATCTAGAGATTTATGGATTTCATAAACAGTATTTGGTGTAGTTTTGCTAGAACAAATCTACATTCTTTTAAAACTATTGCTGGTTTAATCATCAGGTCCTTTGTTTTTGAGCTTTTTTTAACTGATTACAAGAAATCCCAATATTGGACAGATTAATTGCTATTTCTGTTGTATCTGAATATGACAAATTAGTTTAGGAAGCATTTATATGTGAACAAACATTTTCGAAGTGAGTTGCAAATTGATTTACAATATCAAGAGTATCATTGTAAGTTGTGTTATTAAAATACATTACTATTATTTTTATCACCTAACCATTTCTTACCATTCCTAACCTAACCTTTCCTCACCTTTCCGAACTTAACCTAATCATTTCTTACCATTGCAAACTTAACCCAACCATTACTTACCATTCCTAACTTTACCTAACAATTTCTTACCATTCAGACCCTTGCCAATCCAAAATTTTATTATGCATAGAAGTAATAAAGGTAATTTTTTTATAAATACTATGCCCTAACTTCACTGAGTGGTAGTGACCATATTGAAAATAAATCTTGCCACTTTGTCAATATAACAAATCTTGCCCCCGCTATGTACAAACTTAAGATAAATTATCTACTTATATGATAAAGTGGCAAACAAATTTGAAATTTACTAACATATTAAAATATATGAGAACAATGGAAAAAACGTTTTGAACAATATGTATATTTTAAAAGTGAAAAGTGTTCTCATGGACTTGATAATTATGCGAACACATGAAAGGACAACTGGCCCAAATTGAAAATAAAATGAGTGAAATTTGTTAATATTAAGAATAAAATATGTGTTAACAACTCGATTTAAATTTTTAAGGACGTGGTAGCTTTTATTATATCTATACAGATGTCTAGCACTATTTGTTTGTTGAAAGGGGGTTTACAAACGGTAAATGTTTGACTTGGACAATAAATAAGGTTACATAAGTTAATTAACGCTTATACACACAGAGTGGCATATGCTTGTTATTTAAGATTTAATTTTTTGCCATAGTATATGTTCAATTTTTGTGATACAATAACGAGTCGTATTTCTTGTTTATACTTGTATTATTTTTTTAAAAATTGTATTATCATTTTTTGGTTTTAGCTAATATAATTTAATGTCTTAAAAGTGTATTTAAATGTTTGTGTAAAAATTATGTCTGACTAGTCAAAATGAAAATATTGAAAGCGAGAACAAATTTCATAAATTGTTGTAATAATATATAAGGTTTAATGCTGATGTTTTAACATTTTATTACCTGGTTAGCATTTCCAGGTCAAACTGTTGATTAAATTTGTTATTAATTCGTATTACTGTCTAATCTCTCTTGTGACTTGTTTTTTTAAATTTCAATATATCATTTGTATATAATTGTAAATAAAAGAAAATGTGATGCTGTTACTCTGATGTAATAATAATTTTATTAATACCATGTGGTGTTTAGTGACCGTTAGTTAATAATTATTTGGAAATTGTGAGATGTGGTCTGGTGTGACGTAGGTTGAGAAAAACATTTTCTTTATCGTGCCAACGTTTCGATCTTTATTGAGATCATCTTCAGGGCCTGGGATTTACAAGCATTGTTTACATTTAACAAATACATTTAGGATGTGGAAAAGTGAATTTATACAATGCAAAATATATTTTTTATATTCAATCAAATTCACTTTTCCACATCCTAAATGTATTTGTTAAATGTAAACAATGTTTGTAAATCCCAGGCCCTGAAGATGATCTCAATAAAGATCGAAACGGGACGATAAAGAAAATGTTTTTCTAAACCTACGTCACACCAGTCCGCATCTCATGATCTCCAAATAATTTATTAATACCAAGTATTATTTACAGTAGATCTACAATATATGAATACTTTTTTTACCACACCAAGTCTATACATACGTCTCTAGAGTCTGCAACGTTAAGTTACCAGTCCAACTATTATTCTAATCCTAACATGTTCTAGATTTTATTGTAATGCCGTTAGTTTCTGTGATGGTACTTTGATGAACTTTTTCATGGGCTACATTCCCACCGAACAGAGGACTTATTTTTAATCTGTCTAGTGGTTGCATAATTTTGGCAGTTTTGTATGTCACAAAAGGGTTTAGGGCCAATAGATGTCCTCATTGAACTTTCCTGGGGCAATAAACAGCCTTTTCATTGTCCCTTAGGCTAGTGAGCCATGGTTCCCAGACCAGGGTAATTTAGTTGTATTCCACAATATCTGACAGCGCCCTGATCACGGATGACTGGACTTATCACCGATGTGGTAATTGCCTTTTAATCTCATGGGCACAGTGTTCATAGCCACAGTTCCGCTTGAAAGATGATTGCATATGGCACAAGGCTTGTATAAATTATAGTTCTGAGTTTATTTCCATAAATACTAACAACTGACCAATACTTGGTTTTGTAGCCATTTGTACACCAAGCATGGTCGGCATTAACTAGAATCTCTTTCTCCCATGGTTAAAAATATACCAGGTTTTTTAATTTAGAATTTTTTATCAAATCTGAATTTATGGGTCATGGCTTCAACAGATATCACCAGGACTCTGACTGAAGCTCCGCTTTGTAAAGTTTTATTGTTCCATGTAGAAAGTATTGTGGCCTGATCCTCCATCAAAATATGAATTGTGTTTCTGGCCTCTCCCTTATTAAAGATATGTAATAGTGGTAGATTCAGAAGGACTTGTTGGACAGCGGGTCTTTCTCACCGAGGATCCTCACCGCCCTTAGTAGCTGTAAAGTGTATGTGCACCATACCACTGATCCATAGGCTATCAGTAGCTTAAACTGCTATAGCCGTAGCCTTTGGGTTTAGCCCCAACTTTTCCTATAAAGGATGTTTACATTTATCATTGGCAATTTTTTTTTCTCTGTGTGATTTTATTTAGTTGTTGATTCCGTGAAAAAGCTGGGTATTACCTGAGATCTTTTCTCACAGATTAGGAATTGTAAATTGATTTTTTTAAAATCTGAATTTTGAAGCCTTGGAATCAACAGTCATCCACTCTTAAGTGCCTGGAGCTTGCATTAGACTCTTCCTGATTGAGGGGGGTCTATCAGGGCATTAGTGGGGGTTGTTCTTGTTACCCCATTACATAGAACTTTGCTCTTTATTTTAAAAATAAGGTAAGGTTTAAGGTAAATTGTAAATAAAAAGATGATAAAAAATACAACACATTTAATTATCAGTTATTTCAGGATATTTGTAATAAATTGGTTGTATATACATAGATACTAAGATGACATTAATAAACTACACAAATTGTCGTTTTCATTATTTTTAAACTTAATTTTTACCCTGTATAAAAATGGATACTCTTTCTTCACAAAGCTTCGTATACAAAATATAAATGACTAGCAGCATTATTTCTATACATATAAATAATAATAACAAAACTCACATTGGCAGTGCCTTTTGTTTAAATGGAACACACGTTCTTTTATTTTTGATCGTTGAGCCTTTAACAGAAATATTTCAATGAGGAAGACTATTTTATCTATAAGTAAAAATATTATTTAAAAAAAAGTTTACGGTATTTTTTTCCTAATAAAATTTTATCATATTACAGAATTATGTTAAAAAGAACAAAAAATTGTACTATCGTCTTACATTATACACTGCATTAATATAATTATATTATAAATAGTCTTGGTAACTTGTATTTCGCTATCTAAAAACAATATAAATTATTATACAAAGTACTTTTGCCAAGCTGTAATTAAAATGTCACTAGTGACAGTCTCCCTGTTCTTATTAATAGTTTTTATAATATATGGTGTATGATAGACAATACGCAATCAGCATATGATTTTTCAATGACCTTGTTCAATTTTAATAATTAATGAACCAAATATGGTACACAATTTAAAAAATTAAGTTACATCATTATTCTCAATTATTTTGTTTTATGACTTTGATAATCACTAAAACAGGCATTCAATGCCTCTACTTGATATCTCATAACTTGATTTTAAATAAAAAATAATATAATATTCAAATATTGGCGTCTGTTATTTCTATCTTGTAGAAAAACTTGGTTATAATATGTACAATGTTCAAATGATTTGTTGCACACTACAGATCTCTACTTTAGTGTTGCAGAACACTGCAACATCCAAGCTCATTAAAGAAACTTGTCAGAAAAAAAATGTGTGGACTGGAAACAATATTTACACAAAAAAACCTTTAAAATTATATACAACGAACACTAGACTAGACCTACACTGAGGAACACTGGGGTGATTTACAAAAATGTACACTTATTTTGTATTTACATATGTACAATTAGACAGGGCCGTAGTTGCTCAGCGGTGTCTTAGCCTGTTGTCATACGTGAGAGAGATGGCCACCTGGTTTGTAAGGGATTTGATGGTGGTATGGAGCGACATGAGGTCCTGAAAGGAGTGTTGATCCTCCAGTGAGCAGACACTTTTTTCTGTGTTTGGTATCAACAACAACAGGAGCCGGTACACCGCAAAGCCTGCCCCAGAGGCGGCGCCAGCTCCCTAGGGTCTTCCCTGACCAGATCCATACGCCAGAGGTGATGCCGACAGCAAGCGCCATGAAGTACTTCAGCATGAGTAAGGAATAAAGAGGTCTTATCTTAGGTTTTTCCTTGCAAGGGCATGTCAAATTGGTCATCCACTCGTTGTGCACTGATGACTCGTAGACCAGACATCCTATAACAATAGTCGCCGGCACAGTGTACAGCACAGAGAAAATGCCAATCCTAATCATCAACTTTTCCAATTTGTCTGCTTTACTTCTTCCTCCTTGTTGCTTGATCACGTTTCTGATTCTGAACAAAGAGACGAAACCTCCGAGTAGGAAGGATGTTCCAAAGAGCAAATAGAGCAGCAACGGAGCAAGTACAAATATGCGTAGATTTTCAGGATTGGTATTGCCAACGTAGCAAATACCAGAGACAGGGTCTCCGTCTACTCCGGACATTACAAGTACTCCGACTGATTTGACAGTTGGTATGAGCCAGGCACATAGATGGAAATACTGAGAGTAGCTCGCTATGGCTTCATTTCCCCATTTCAGTCCTGCAGCTAGAAACCAAGTCAGAGATAATACGACCCACCATATGCTCGAAGCCATACCAAAGAAGTATACCAGAAGAAACACCAATGTGCAAGGAGTTGGCCCAGAGGCGTGATATCTGATCATAGGTCCGTCGCATGCTACTTCTTCATGTCCTAGAAATACTCTTGTCAAATATCCTATACTGACCATAAAGTAACACGCTGATAGGAATACAATAGGCCTTTCTGGATATTTGAACCTTTCAGTGTCGATCAAAAATGTTGTTAAGGTCATTAAAGTCGAAACGCAGCATAAACTGGACCACAATGTAATCCAGATATTTGCGAATTCTTTTTCTTCAGGGGTGAAAAATTCTTCTTTGCAAGGAAAGGCGCAGTTCGGTATGCCTGAAATTGATACGGATCGATTATATAAAGCGGTTCCTCTTTGGATGGGTATGAGTGGTGGTCGACATTTGCAAGCGCAGTCCCTTTCTTGACATTTTCGACCCCTGCATTTAGGAGGAGGTGTAGGCTTTTTGGTCGGTTTGGTTTCGGTTCTGTTGTTCATTTCCATGCAGAGGTTCTCAGGATCGCCTTGGACTGGGAGCTTCTCGCAAGACATCCTCTCGGGCCATTGGAATCCGTACTGCTGCATCAGGGGCGAGCAGCCCGCCCTGGCCCTCTCGCAGACGGACCTGCACACTGGCAGGGGTCTCAGGTAGTCTTCGAAACAGATCGGAGCGTACATGGAGCAGAGGAAGAAACGAAGGTCGGAGGAGCATTTGATTTCAACCAAGGGCCAGAACTGGTGGACCTCCAGACCCGCTTCTTCTTGCGTGTCGTGGTTCAGTTCGTTCGGCATGGACGTGAGGTTGTAGCCGATACCACGACACATCGGGATGGTGATCTCTTCGCATCTCGGACCTCCGCTGGAAGTCACAAAAACCGGCTGGAGTTCACCCCACGCCACGGTACACAGGAACGACCAAAAGAGCCGTCTAAGCATCCTGCATCACCTGTAACACATACAAAACAATTTAGTCTAGATGACAGTTTTGTAATATAAACCTGGTAAATTAAATATCTAATTCTCAGAATATCACTGAGGATCATAGAATAAGATTATTTTCTAAACTGGGAAAACTCATATGACCGTCTGTTTTAGGTCATTACGGTCTGCCTGCCTATCCTACACCAAAACGGGAGGAATAGCACCAGTTTAATTTATACAATGCCAGAAAATTTTAGATTAAAAAAAATGAATTTATACAATGCTAGAAAATTTTAGATTCAATCAAAGTATTTGTACTCACCCAAAGTGTTTGTTTTCCGTGCAGATGTGTCATTCTTGTTTGTCGTGTTGAGAGTGCCAGTGAAAATTGATGTTTTATGTTTATATACATTGGATTTTGAATGGGTGGGGAAGGAAGTCGGGAATAGAAAGACATTTTTATATGAGGAGTCGGCTTCTTTTTGGTGAAAGGAGCCGACAATAGGAAAAAATGGGGAATGGTTCGGCCTGATTCTTTTCAGTATTCAGGACGGGGATTATTAGGGAAGGGAAAGCCAAATTGTTGAGGACAGGAAGGAAGACTATGTAGAAATGTTTGGTCAGTGTAATGTAATGATTGTTTTATATGCTATATTATTTGTTTTGTGTGATGTGATGATGATGATGATGTATGTATGTTATCGATATTGAATTTGATTAATGATATTAGCGTAGCTGCGATTGAGTTTACATGTGTCTGTTCTGTAATTAATGCTGTGTTTATCCCTGTTGATGTAAACTATTTCTAAAAAGTTACGTTTGTGTTTGTTTTGTTCTGTGCGTAATATTTTTGGATTGTTGAAGTCGAAATTGTGTTGGTGTTCAAAGTGGTGGAAAGCCAATGATGTAGGATTTTGTTTGGGCTTTTTGCAATCATATATATGTTGCTTTACTCTCTTATCCATACATTGAGATGTAATACCGATGTAAGTTGCGGGACAATAAATAAATCCATTTTTTTATCTAAAATTTTCTAGCATTGTATAAATTAATTTTTTTCCTCACCTCCTACGTGTATTTGTAAAATTTAAACAATGTTTATAAATCCCAGGACTGAAGATGATCTCAATAAAGATCGAAACGTTGGCACGATAAAGAAAATATTTTTCTAAAGCCTATGTCCCGTACGTCCTATGTATAATTTAAACACCGCTGATATTCCTGTCCTAAGTTATAAAAGTAAACAGGTTTGATTCTCCAAGTTTTACTAACCAACAACCTATAGATAAAAATTGTAACGCTACAAATCCATCCATTATAAAAACTTGTTTTTCTTGGGTTTGCTCATCCAAGACATAATATTAAGCAAACAAAACGTTTGGAACAATTGTAAACCGCCGTTTGTCACGTTGTCAGAGACGACGAATGTGACCTTATCTCATTGACATGGAATCAGATAATGGAATTGAGTCGCAGCTGCGCTTCTGACACCGTCGTTATAGGAGAGCCCGTCCAGATTCTAATCTGGTGCCTACAAGTAACAACTAATGCACGTGTTGAAGAAGAAACATGTTTAAAACAAGGGCTCGCTGTATAAATAATCATGTGGCTATTTATCACTAGCAACTCCCTGACAATGGTTTATGCCCTTAGGGGAAATAAGAAATGTTGGGCTTTTCGTTTATAGAAGAGTTCAGCGCCTTGCGATAAGCTTGGCCTATAGCCTTTTCCTGGTTAACATTATCACTGTTTATTTCATCATCCTCATGTTTATACGGCCATTCGATTCTGTAGCGACTGAATTTCATTATCAAGAAAACATCTAACACAAAACCCGATAGCAAGCAGATCATCAAGGATTTGCGGTGACAACTGTTTAAAAACCCTAAACAGAAAAACTTTTTAACATTTACTAACGTTTCCGTCATACGTTCATGATCCCTATAACTACAGAAAAAAGTGACCTAAAGTTCCAGATACATGTCCTGAGTAGTACCTCTACCCAAGCCTTATTTTTTTTATTTTTTAATTTATTTTTTAATTATTCTGAGTAATTTGTTTACATTTAACAAATACATGTAGGCGTTGAATGTTTGTAATCATTCAATGTTTGTAAATCCCAGGCTGTGAAGATGTTCTTAATAAAGATCGAAACGTTCGCACGATAAAGAAAATGTTTTTCTGAAACCTACATCACACCAGACCGCATCTCACGATTTCTGAATAATTATCGATTAACAGTCACTAATCACCACACATTTTTTTTTAAATTTTTTATTTTATATATATATATATTTTTTTACGAGGGTTCGCAACAGGAGGTCATATAAACCCTCATGGTGCCGGTGTTTTTGAAAAAAAAAGCCCATTTGTAAGTATGTCGGGTTCGAATGCAGGGCACCTGGATTCGAACCCGGGACGGTTCGAATGCAGGGCATCTGGATTCGAACCCGGGACCTTTACCTTACAGTGATGAGCGCCGTGTCAACGCCTAAACCGTTGCGGCCACCGATGCCCCCCCACCATCGTCAGTTGATGGCAATAGTTTCACTAAACGAATGATAAGAATGATCAAATGACTTAGAAAATGCTACAAGCGCCAGGTACTATGACCTGGGCCCGTCTTCCATCGCTTAGGTTTTTGGCTACTTTAACCATCGTCATCAATGAGTGACAGTTTATTTTATAAAAAAAGAATAGGATGATGAGGTACGACAAAATTACTTAGGAATTGCTGCAAGCGCCAGGTACGATGACCTGGGTCCGACTTCTCTAGCTTAGGTTTTTGGAATACGTTCACTGTCATCAGTGGAAGACACCTCATTCTAACAAATAGAATGGGATGATAATGCACGTCAAAGATTGTTTAGAAAAGAACACAAGTCACTACTACAATCACCCGGGTGAGTTTTTCTTAGCTTAGTTTGACTTAGTTCTTAGCATAAGTTGACATATCAGAGGGTGACAGTTTACTTAACAATCAAGGATAAAAAGGTACGAAATAATTGCTTAGAGATGGCTACAAGTGCGAGGTACGATGACCTGGATCCGTCTGCTCTCGTTACGTTTTCGGTGTACATTCATCATTACCAGATGAGAATCGGTTAATGCTGATGATACGAAACGAGCAAATTGGTTAATATTGGCCACAGGTGCAAAGTACGATGGCCCGTGTATTTCTTCAATCGTTTTCAGCAAACCACCATCATCAATAAAAGATTTCTCTAGAAAATTGAATAGGATGTTTAGAGGTGATGATATATGAATGCCTATATATCTCTTCAATGAAGGCTTGGGAGCGTCTGGTCTCGTTCTGTAAAAACATAAACCACCTTTTTGGTGTTTCTTCTTTAAATTGTTCTTTACGTTCACAATACTGAAAAATGATCATAGACTACTATGATAACTAGGGTCTGTGTTTGTTTTACTTCTGAGCTTTTGCCTGTTTCCTAATAGCAATTTTTTTTCTAAATTGTATTAGATATTTATGTAAGAAGTGAAATAATAAAGAAATGTCCAAGATTGTCTGAATTTTACGTTTGTAATCCGTATATAAATACAAGAAGGCCGTCCTTTATTTTTGTTTTCCCACTAAACTAAACTGTCGTTAATCATCTATAATTGACTTTAACAAGGAGAAGAGAGCCGGCCGCATTCAAATAAGAGAATGTGACATGTCTTGAAGAATTATGCTGTTTCGGTTATGGCTGGCTCCCAGGGCGTCCGTACCGCGTTGCTGTATCGCATTCATAATCCTGGACGTGGCAATAAAACGATACGGAAATCAAAAACCGGTGATTCTCGCCTTGAAATACGGCCGGCCGGCTCGACCGACTTTGTTGCGCCAGAATCGTCGTGACGCACCTAAGCTTTCCAGGATCTGTTGAAAACCTGAATAAAACCGGAAGTATCTAAAATACTGGCATAGTTCGTTTTATGCTATGCCGTACGTTATGCAGTTTGGTCGACCCTAGTCGCTCAATCCGCATAGGAAATTAACTTCGGATAAAGCAATTAATCAAATAACATGAGTAAAAGAAATCTTTCAAATTCTTAAATTTATATAGGAAGACTCACTCATAGATATTTAAATTACGGTATTTAGATGCGAACAAAACTTACAAAAATGTATGCTGTTTAAAAAAGACTGCCTGGAATGAAGCAGCTATAAGCAAAATAACATCGGCGAAGGATCCCAAAGAGTTTTGGTTTGGTGTTAATACACTGAAAGGCAAAACATTTACAAGTGCAGCTGCAATACCTGTTTGTGAATGGGTGAGCCACTTTGTACAGCTCTTAAACCAACCTCTCACCGCAACACCAATCTACCTTGCTGAGCCTTATGTGAAGGATAACGTCATAGAGGGTAAAATTACCCCAAAAGAAATTTTGCACGTGTTGAAAAAAAGCAAAAACGGTAAAGCCCCGGGATATGATAGAATTCCCTTTGAATTCCTAAAAAATGCACCTCAAGAATTTATCTGTTTATTGCAAGAAGTATTTAACAAGATATGGGAAAAAGAGTCAATACCAAAAAGTTCTAAACAAAGCATAATTTTCCCAGTATTTAAAAAAGGTGATCCGACACAGGCCAAAAATTATAGAGGTATGTCTCTACTTAATACAACTGCAAAACTCTTCGCAGGTGTTCTATTGGAGAGAATAAAGAACTGGATGATAAATAAGCACAACCTACTTAAAGAATCGCAAGCAGGCTTCAGAACCGGACATAGCACGATAGACAACATCTTCAACCTGTACAACATTATAAATATAAAATAAAATTAATTAATGGACAAAGAAAGGGTGTACTTAGTTTTTGTAGATTTTCGGGCTGCTTTTTACAGTATAGAAAGGAGAGCACTATTCTATAAATTATCTACCTACGGGCTTTCTACAAAAATTATTAACATCCTTAAAAGTTATTATGCCGGATCAGACGCCCGAATCTGGACAAAAGGTCTGACGAGTGACTTTGCCTGCGAAATGGGAGTCAAACAAGGTTGCTTACTCAGTCCTGTCCTG